TTATTTATTTATTACTGCATTATATATTTGAATATGTAATAAAAATGTTAATAATATTGCTACTAATTTAGAATATTAAGAATCTATTCAACTATTTAAAATTGATATTATAATAAGTTTTAAACTACACAAATGAAATTATGATAACATACCTACATTAGTGTAAAGAATATTATTGAAGTTTACTTATAAATTTAGGATAGGTAGTACATATATTTTTTATTACCTATTATTGATTTAAAATTTTCAATTTATACATCATGAAAATCAATTGTTTCATACAAATAGGTACATTTGGTATTGAGAAGTATAACATATTTTTATTAATAAGATATAAGTTACCTGGTGGTTGACTTTTTTTTTTAAAAGCTGCAAAACATTTTAAAATAATTTAACCTCACTGAGATTCACATTTAGATGATATTTTGTAGTTTGGTTTGTTTTTAAGGTTTAGTCCAGAGAACATTAAGCTGACAATTTTTTATATTAGATAATAAAAGTATTTATATAAATACATAAGTATGAACTTTGTATCTAGACACAATTTCAATTTAAAATTCAGAAATTATTGAATGTTAAATATTTGATTATTTCAAGTAATTTTAATATAGTAAACACTATTCGACTAAAATATATTACTTAATTTCTTTATTATGTAGTTAATTAGAGAATACAACTGCTAAGCACACATGTGCTTGTTTGTGTGAAAATACTTGGGCTTTGCCTGGAAGTCATTAAGATAAAATGTTTTGAAGTTTCAATATTCTTCTAGTTTAGTAGAAATTGTTTCAGTAAGTCAATTTATTTAGTATTTAAAGCATATTGTAGACTAGAAACTTAAGATAATAAGGTAAAAGTTGAAATAATGTAAAATGTTGATAGCTCAGATATAAGCAAAACATCTATAGTATTTCTATCTTTAAAAAAATCACATAATTAAATCATTTTAAAAATATTATTTTATCAAAATCATTCTAATTTTTTTTAAAGTGTTATAGTTTAAATGTATAAATTGTTGTGTTTTTTGTATCTAAATTATTTTCTTAATAATAATTTGTAATTGAATAAATTTTCCAGGATTTTATTATAATTTTACTGGAGAAAATATGGATGAATCTGATGAAAATATAGAAACCGTAATGGATGTAGATTCATTTGAAGACAGTGATTCATTACTGTATAGTGGTTATGATGATTCAAGTGAATCTAATTTTCAGTACAACTTACCACGGTACTCTTTGCATAATGAATCACTTATGGTGATTGAAGATGATGATGATGATGGTGATGATGATGGTGATGATGATGATGATGATGATGATGATGATGATGATGATGATGATGATGATGATTCGTTGAGTGACATCAGTAATAACAAAATTATAGATGTAAAAAAAGAATTGAATAAACCTACTTCAATTAAAATACCCGAGGAAAAAATTATTGTGAGTGATGATTCAGATAATGATTCTGATATAGAAATATATGATCAAATGATGCAAATAAAGAAAAATATTGTATCTGGTGCTACTAAAAATACAAACATATTTACAAGACAAAAGGAAAATAATTCTTTAAATGTAAAGAAAGTTTTTACTCCAAAACATAATACCTCTTTGGTCAAATTCAATCCTACAGTAAAATCTAACCAACTTAAAATGGCATCCACAGCTGCAGTTAACAGGCCAAAAACTACAACTTCACATTTAAAGTCATCGAGTAATACTGACATTAGTCATAATAAAAGTTTTTTTAAACCAAAGCAACAATTGAAGATAGCATCTTCAAAAGAATCAAAATCAGAAGTTTATTTAGTACCACACAATGGTATGAATTTTATGATCAGCAAAGGAATACCTAAAAGTCCACTGTTGAAGTCTAATTCTTCTTTATCTCCTACATTAAAAGAATCCAGTACTGTAATTAGACCTAATGAACAAAAAAAACAATTTATGGTTACGTCATCAAAAGATGCATTAAGGAGTGAAAATAAAGAAGAGTCTAAATTCTTAACTCGAATGCAACCACTCCCTGGGAGGAAATATAAAATGGTACCAGATCAYGGACAAGTTTCTAATAGTTCAGAAAATGTATTCAAAAGAAACCCTAATTTAAGTAAACAAAAATTGGCTACAGATCCTTCTCCAAATGGACATAAAATTGGCGATTTTTTTCATATAGAAAAATCCTATAAATTAGCAAATATAAAGGAAACTAGAAATTTTCAACATAAAAAATTAGATGTGCCATCTGGAAAATTTTCTTGKTGTAAAATGTCTAGAACAGTTGAACTTAATAATGTGAGTAGAAATAAAAAGTTTATTCCTCATACTGTTACTAGTAAAGATCCAATAGTAAAGATTCAAAATACCAATTTTCCTCAAAAAATGAGTTCTTCGTCTAGGTTTGTTCAGCTATCATCAAACTCCGAATCTTTAAAGCAATCAGATGGTCAACCGTTAAATCATACTAGATACGGTTGGTATAAATAATTATTTATCTTCTTTTTTATTTTCTCATAAACTATTTGTTTCAATTCAGGTAAAATAACTGAAAGTGATCAAAAAACAATCCAGTTATCTTCAAATTCTCCTACACAATCTAAAACAAAATTACATTCTTATCAAATTCTAAAAAATGGTGGTGATGATTCAAATGGCTCTGATGATAAAATAATAAATGTAAATAATAGTAAAACTCGTACATCACAGGTATTGTTTATTGGCATTATTTTGAATTAATTAAAATTCTATTAACACAATTAATGTATATATATATATTTTAGAATTTAAATACTAAAAGAGCAGTTGAAGAACATTCAAATCAGTGTAAAGTATTACTGTCTGACGAAATTATTGATTTAGATACTCATAGTGATTCTTCCGAAGACGGTAAAAAATTATTATATGCTTAATCTGTATAAGTGCATAATATATTTTAATATATATTTAATATGTTTATTTTCAGATGATTCATCTAATCAGTTTATTTCTTGCAAATATGAATATTGTGATACATTGGTGTATGAACCTGAATTGATTGATGATTTATATTGTAGTTTGGCATGTAAAAATTTAGATATAAAACAAACAGTAACTGAAGAAGAACATTGTATCGATGAAACTTCCAATCCATCCAAAAAAACTGCAGTTGACCGAAAACACATTTTAACTAAATTGGAAAATAGAATAAATAAGAGAAAACAATTGTTATCAACTTCTTGTTCAGCGGACATGGTTAAAGAAAATGAAGATTTGAATAATCAGATTATAAATTTTTTTAATAAACCATCAAAAGAAGAAAATCATCCTCCTATAAAATCATTGCTGCCTATTAGTTCTCCAGAAACAATAGATGATGATGATGATGATGATGATGCTGATGATGATGATGATGATGATGATGATGATGAAGATGATGATAATAATTATTTTGATCTTAAAGTATATTTTTATAAATAGCAATTAAATTTTGATGAAGTCAATATGTTAATATTTTGTTTTAGACGCTCATAGAAGATAAAGATGTTTTGAAATATATGACAGAGATGCAATTTAAATCTGCCCCTAAAAAGTTGTTTGATAACCCCTATCCGACTGAAAAGAACTTATTTGTAGTAGGACAAAAAYTAGAAGGCATTGATCCCAAACATGAAGCACTATTCTGTGTTATGACTGTATCAGAAGTTTGTGGTAATTGTTAATTAAATTAAATTTGGTACCATAGGTGCAAATAGGAAATTATGTTGAAGGTGGATTAAGCACACACATATATTTTTTAGCAAAAATATAATGCAATTGGTAAAAGCTCTTGGTTTGACTTGAAATATTGCTATTGTAATAATTTTAAAAAAAGATTTTTTTATTATTCACGTATAATATTAAAAGTGATTTCCTGTTGGACTTGAATAATAGTTTATCATTTACCATTATTTATAGGTTTTTAATGTTGAGTGATCCTAATCCACTAAATCACATTTTTATATATATATATATTGTAGCAATTTCAATCCCATTTTTGCGTAACAAAAAACATTTCAAAAGTAACCAAGTGAATTAATTAAGTTATTGCTAAATCAAATAACTTTGATAGACTTTTTGACTCTTCTATAAATTTTAGGGGTTTGACATAACTTACAAATTAATATTTTCTTTCTGAGCATTTTAAAAGCCATAAATTCTGATCTTGAGTAATCTCTACAAGTACTGAATAAAAACTAAAAATTATTATGTAGTTATGAATTACTCATTCATTTATTAGTGTTTTAGTGGTATCAATTAGGGGGTTATTGAAATAACTTATTAAAAATCTTAAAATAAACTAATACTTAAAAACAAAAATAACTAATATTGTGTTTACAGAGCAGAGTTTACTAGGTGCTGTTGAAAACAAAATAAACTGGTAAATCTGCATTTCCCCCCCCACACACACCCCTTCTTCCAAGCCATTCCTTATTTGCACCTATGCTCACTGTCCTATTATGGTAATAAATAATGACTCTTTACTTAGTTGAACTTCTTATTGTTGTTATGTTTATACTTTTTAGGATACCGCATCAAATTACATTTTGATGGTTATGAAGATGTTTATGATTTTTGGGTAAATGCAGATTGTCCAGATTTGTTTTATCCAGGATGGTGTGAAATGAATTCACGCATTTTACAACCACCAAAAAACTATAAAAATGCATTTAATTGGATTAGTTATCTTAGGGAGTGTCAAGCTTTACCTGCTCCTAAACGCAATTTTGTTTCTAATAAAACCCTCAATGTAAGTGATAATAAACTACTATTTTATACTGATAAAAGTGAAAATTAACCACATAAATTTATGTTAGTACTTCAAATTGTGAAGTGTATTTAAAAAACAAATTAAAATTCAATTTTAATTTAATATTAGTCACTTATAAGTCATTTAATTAACTGATTTTTTCTTATATAATATTCCACCTATCCCAGATTGTTTTTTTAAATTCTTTTATCAGTTTAAAATCTACTTTTTTGTGGTTAATTGTACATATTTTTCATAAAAATATATTATTGGAAGTATTAGTAAAAAAACAGCTTTAGCTACTAGTTTTGTAAACTTTCTTAAGTCAAAGAAATGTGTCCAAGATGTTTAATATAATGTTGTTATATTTATGATTATGTGTTTAATTACRAAAATAGTAGAGATAAGGTGTTTAAAGATCTTGTATAATTGTTATTAATTTGTTAGTTTAAAAAAATAATATTTTTTATTCTTAGAGTTGTAAAAATCGACATAAATTTCATATCGGAAGTAAATTAGAAGCATTAGATAAATTAACCCGTACACTTCCAAAACAGTTAATATGTGTGGCCACTGTTGCGGATATCTTGGGTAATCGTGTTCGTATTCATTTTGATGGGTGGACAGATGATTTTGATTATTGGGTAGATATTACATCAACTAATATACACCCAGTAGGGTGGTGTGACTACAATGGTCGAACTTTGTCTCCACCTAGTGGTTATAATGGTAATTTACTAATTTTAATATCATTAAACACATACTAAAATATTACAATTCCACTAGATATGAAAGGAAAAAAACCTTTTAATTGGACTGAGTACTTAAGAGAAACAAATAGTCAACCTGTGCCCGAAGATGCATTTGTTCGTAGACCTTTACGAGATTTTTCTAATAATATGATGATTGAGGTTGTTGATCTTGTTGTTCCGAGACTATTAAGAATCGCTAAGATAGTAGATGTTAGAGGCGATGAACTAAAAATTGTTTATGATGGTTTTGATAATGATTATGCATACTGGGTTGAAGACGATAGTCCAGATATTCATCCTATTGGATGGTCATCAAAAACTAATCATCCAATTGAATTGCCTCCAGGTATAAATTTATTAATTATGTAAATAAATATAGTTAAGTTAATGAATTTAGTCTAAAATCTTGCATTGTGTTAAGTTAATTTTTTCCACATAACTAGAGTAAAAGATTAATCTTCTGAAATGTTTAATTTGCCTTATATTCAATTAATAGTTTTATTTAATTTTTATTATTAATATTTAATTTATTTTTTTTTTTGTAAATTTAAGCATCTAATATGCTTCGGAATTGCAATATTCTTGGTTGTAAAGGTTATGGAAATTCATCAAATAGTTTAAAACTGGATCATGACGAAATAGTAGACTGTCCATATGAAATGGATTCATGGAAAACTGCTGTTGCTGGGTTAGCAAAGATGCCTGATCGATTGAAAACTCATAATGTTATAATTACCACTACATTGACAAGGTAGTATTAAATTATACTTTAAATGTTTTCTTATCGATTGATAACCAATTTAATTGAATGAATGTTATATAGTTCAAAAATGAAAAGTAATGTACATCAGAATGATGAAAATAAAAAAGAAAACAAATTAAATAAAGAACAAATTAATTTGGCTAATATCAAAGAAAAAATAAATGAAAAAAGGTAGTATAACTTAAATACTTTTAAGTTTCATYATTTTATTTATAATTGATTTAATTAAAAATTATTTAGATTAAATTTTCTGTTGGATGCAAACGATATTGAACCAGAATGCGATACTGTTATTAAAAACACACTTATTAATGACATCATTCCAAGAAACAATAACAACAAATTACGCAAAACTATTGGTTTGGGTCTTGTGGGATATAATTTGGGCTCAGTATCAATGGAAACACAATCCAGTTTTTGGACAACATATAATGCTCAACTAGGTATACCATTATTCAATACTACTGACGCAAGAAAATGGTCCATTCAAGAAGTGGCCTCATTTGTTCAAAAAGTGGTGGAATGTTATAACTCAAATGTAACTACCAATGAAGAAATCAGTATAGCTGATCGTTTCATTGATCAAGTAAGGATTTATTATTATTTTTATTATTGTTTTGTACATTCTCTAATCTATTATTATTTATATAGGAAATTGATGGTGAGACATTTTTAATGTTAACTCAAGATGATATCCTTAAAGTATTAAAAGTTCCACTAGGTCAATCATTAAAAATAATCAATGCTATTATAATGTTAAGACAACAAATATCTGGATATGAATATATGTAGTTGAAACCTACATTCCTCAACATTAAAATATTATCTTTTACTTATAATATGAAAWTTTATTTCATATATCTCAATTGACTCATATAATAATATTATTTTTTAAAACTTAATTCTAAGTATTTTTGTAAGTATTTTTGTGTTCCCTATGATAAATTATAGTTACCTTTGTACATTCATGTTTTGTAAATAAAAACTGTTATAAAAATAAAAGAAAAAAGGTTATTACATTTTTCTCCTTATTTTTTTTCAAATYGAAAAGCTTAGTAATTCAATACAAAGTTCTTTAGAAGTTGTTCTTGCCACAATTACAAAATATCAAAAATACATAGCTACTATTTTTTTTATATATACATTTTTAAATTTTGAAGTTAAATTCCTGATGAATTAARTACTTAGACATTTTATTTTAATACATAAGGCTACATTTAAGACTAGATACATAATAAATTTATTTTWAAAAAAATTGCAGAATGTATTGATTCACAATTACTGTTTTTAATTTTTTGTCTGTCATCTTAMTATTTGTTTGAGCAACACTAATAAAGGTTTCTGGTAGTGACTAGACAATAAGAAAGGGATGGTAGTCAGAGATTTAAAAGTAAAAAATGTCAAGTATTTTTCTAAACAAAAAACAATTCAACAACATATTTTCCAATTTTAATCAGGYTTCGGTTTTACTACTGTTTATTTATAATTAGTAGTCCTGTCATGTTTGTAGGGGAAAACTAATTCTGGTAAAATTATTCACTTATACAAAAATATTGTAAATTGTTTCATCTTTTGGTTTGAAAATTATGAAATCACGCCATAAGATTAAAATGTGGTAGGGGTGATACTTATGTATTAAACAAGTGGTGAAAATATGAAAACAACTACCTTAGAAAAGAGATTTTACATGTAATGACTTAACACTATAAATTACAATAGTGACAATGTGATGATTGTATGACTCCCTATTCAGTGATTGTGATATCCGCTGTAACTACGAATTTACAATAATATTTACAGTGTCCACTGTTATTTGATTATTTCAGAAAAAAAATAACTAACTTATAGTCATGATTACCAAATAAAAGCCCCTATCTCTACGGGTGTAAAWAATACAAAATTTCCTTTTTATTTGAATAAATTTTAAATARGTAAAAGTGATTTTATTATTTTATGAGTAGTTTTTAAATAAAAAATGTAAAATGATTTGAAAGATTATTGTTARAGATTTTATTATATTATACACATTATTTACAAACTAGTGCTATCGAATAGTTTTATGTTCTATTTTTGRACTATTCAATAGGTACTTAAATTTTTAAGTTGTTATTACTTATTRTAGTTATTATAATAAGTATGCTGCGGCTAAGCATTATCCGGCATCCATAACTCCTTTATGAGTGATTCCTTCTGTGTTTTTATCAAAATATCYACGAACCCTTGTCCCCATATAAGCTCATGACACGAATCTCGTGTTCCTCAACCAATCGTGATGTAACCTCACACRAAATGCTAATGGTCATAGTTGTTAAAACCAATAARAAATAATATTTATGATAATATTAATAAACAATAATATCAAGTATTAAATGGTAAATACTAATGCCCTTGACGTGCGCTTTACAATATTTATCTCCTATCAGCCAACAGGTCGCCGTCGGCTGTTCTATTCTAGGTAGTAGCCTGTTGCTCTATTGTATTTTTAAGACTTTAGACCGTCGGCCACATCATACATTCATACGTATTCTTATTTTTTAAGATTAAGAACATAATATAATTATCTTATTACCTTTATTAGTTTTTGTTTATAAATAGAGATGCGAAAACCAAAAATAAGTACAATGCATGGACCTCCTTCTCTATTTATTAATTAAAATATTATTCGAACTCTTCAAATGTCAAATGTTCGAACCATTTGAATGAATAAAAACTATTCGATTTAAATATTCGAATAGTTTTAAAACCGTCGAATAGGTATATCGTAACTATTCAAATAGTTATGGTCTATGGAATAACTAGAATTGTTTTATAGTGCCCAATCACTATTAGAAATTTAGAGGGCCAACGTCCAAAATATATTAAAACTCCCTAGGCAAATCGCCCACGCCAGTTTTCCCAAAATATGCTATTAATTAGTTGGTCATAGAGTAATAACAGTAAGTACATTCATTATAATAATTGTATACATCATACTACTTGATGCCATGACTAAAACTTAGTACATTTTGTATTAAATGTGTATTAAGTAAATGTATCGTAGCCATGCCAGTGCCGGATAGACAAAATATCGGCCACCGAGTTGTAGGATTTTAATCGTCCTTAAAAGATTTATTTTCAAATGAACATTTCAAAAATTGACCTAGATTTTACGCGGCCCACCGAGTTCAACTAGGTAACTCGCCGGGCCTATATCTAGGCTTGAGCTAGCTTTATACTACACAATACAATACCTAC